ATTAAATATAACAATTTTTCTGCTCTGATCGTTTTAGCTTATCTTACTTGCACTTTTTGATTGCTGACAAAAAGGGGGAGAACAAGAATGATATTTTTCAATAACGGATTACTGAGACAAAAAGTCTCAAACATTCTAACACTCTGATATACTTGAATGTTTTCTGTTTTTTGCATAAGGCTACAGGTACAAGAAGTTAATCATCTCTGATACTCTGAAGCTCTGATATTCTGATCTGAAGCTCTTCTATTCTGATGTTAAAAGAAAGTCAATAAAGATCTGATCCTGAAGAACTCTTGGAATTAAAAAGGGAAGTAATAAATTCAGGGGGAGTATCTCCGATCTAAACTCTGATATCTCTTTATCCCTTATCTTTGATAACTTCCTATTTAATTCTGATACAACTTACCATTTGGTTATCTCTGATACTTTTCTCGCTAATTTTCAATTAAAAAATATCTAGTTTTTGTCATCATCAAAAAGGGGGAGATTGTTAGAATAAAGTTTGAATCTACTACCCTAAGTTTAAGTTTTGATGATAACAAAATGCTAAGATACATTAATTGTATGATTCATGTAAGACACATATGCTATCTAAAAATTACATTCTGTTTTACAGAAACTCTGATGGGTATCAGGATGAGAACATCCTCATTAGCATCAGAAAATTGGATATCAACATCAGCATCAGAAGATGTTATATCAGATACCAGAATCAGAAGATCAACTTGCGCTTATGCTGAAGCTTGATGAACAGATCTGCGCTTAACCATCTGAACTCTGATCTAGAAAACAACAGTTCATCAGCACCTAAGCAGCGTCAGAATGAGCCAAATCCAGAACACGCTCAAGTGGCAACGGTACTGTGCATTCAAGATGATTTATTACCAACGACATCATTCCAGACAAGATCTGCTTAATAAGGAAAGAATGTTATTGGCATTGAAACATAATTATTACTCCAACGTACACTATTTCCAATGCTATATAAACAAGTCAATGAAGATTGAATTGGCTAATGCTCTACAACCTTCTACACGCCTAAAGCTATTCATCATCTTCCTCACGCTCAGTTTGCTAAAAGCTCTCAATTCTTTACTCAATTATTTTAGCACTCTAGTCTCATAAGCTTAAATTGTGTAGTATCACAGTTGGGATAAACAGTTTTTGTAGAAAACATTCACACACCTAGATTTCAATTCTTTGTAAGAAAGTATTTCCTTGAGAAACCGGTTTATGGTCTGACTCAAGAAGGCTTTAGCAGTTGTTAAAGCAGATTGTAATATTCAATTGAATATAGTGGATTAAGACCTCGTTGGAGAGAGGCGAAATCACCTTGACGGGTGGACTGGAGTAGTTTAAGATCAAACGAACCAGGATAAAAATATCGTGTTGATTGCAATTGATTTCCAGTTTTTACAATTCAACCCCCCTTCTTGTGTTTTTCACTTCTTCAAAAATTACCTGTGACCTTCCATTATTATTGTGCGAGAAAAAGGAAAAACTTATTCAACCCCCCTTCTAAGTGTTTTCTCACCCTTCATTTGTATGGTTAATTTTCGCAAACAAGGCTTTGATCTTGGCGTCAGCATTTTCGGGAACGCGGATCTCCTGATACGCGGTCGACTTATAATTCTGCTGAGGATGATGGGTGTCGTCGCGTGTTGCAAGCAGGTGGAGGAAGATGCGTTCATCGTGTCCTGGGGGTCTTGCTCGGAGGCGGCAACATTGTTGTTGTTGCTGCCCGCGTTGTTGTTGTTGTCGGCATCGATGAAGTGAATGTTCTTTCATTGTTGATAGCTTGGTCGGCCATGACAACCTGAAGGTTGAAGATGTTGCTTTGGTCTTACGTGAATGAAAGACGGGGAAGCCTTGTTCCCACAGACAGGGCCACTGATCGTACCTGATCAGAAGAGATCGTCAAGGCCCACAAGCTTGAAGTTGAGCAACGGTTGAATGTGAAGTGGGGGGGGGGGGAGGAGGTACCTACAAGACACTCTAATTCCAAAGGGAGGTTCAGAGCGAGAGCAAGTAACATATGTGAGGTAGAATGAATGAATGAATGGATACTTGACCCTCTCAGGTGAGAGGGTATTTATAGCCTCCAACGCTGGACCGAGATCCGTGTAATGAACCAAGCGATATGGGTCCAATAACGTGGACGTCCAAGGTTTACGCGAGTAATGGAGTCCAACACGAGGCTCTCTCCCAGGTGAAGTGCTTTGAGAATGTAGGGACAATGGACCCGTTATTCTCGAAAGACAGGTGGTGGTTGATGATGACTAGGGACACGTTCTCTAAAGGGCACGTGGAGAAACCCCCAACGACTATCAGTCCTGGGCCCAAAGCTATTGGGCCATAACAAAGACGTTGGACTGGGCCTTCCCTAACAGTGGGGTAAGTGCCAGCCCAATCCAGAATTATATATATATATATATATATATATATATATATATATATATATATATATATATATATATATATATATATATGTTAGAAATGTGGTAATGAATATGGGTATGGATATTTATATATCCATAAGACACGGATACCAAACAAATATGGACTCGAGTACAAAGATTTTTCAACCACATATATAAGAATGGATATTATAGTATCCTGCCTATTGACATCCGTAACTTGAACACAAAAATAAAGTTTAGTATTGGCTTCAAAGAATTTATACATCAATTTAATATTGCCTTATACAATTCTTTTTTTTTAAAAATAAACTAATTCGCAACCTGTTCGATAATTTTTTTTAATAATATTTTTGAAGATTGATTTTTAAATCTAAACAACAATTTTAAGATATTCAACTGTCATTACTATTAAAAAAAGTATTAATATTTTTTTTAATAAATCATTTAAATTTGAGAGAAATCATTTTAATTGTTGGCAGACAAAATATAATTTTTATAATATTAATAATAATAATAATAATATTTTTATAATAATAATAATAATAATAATAATAATAATAATAATAATAATAATAATAATAATAATAATAATAATAATAATAATAATAATAATAATAATAATAATAATAATAATAATAATAATAATAATAATAATAATAATAATAATAATAATAATAATAATAATAATAATAATAATAATAATAATAATAATAATAATAATAATAATAATAATAATAATAATAATAATAATAATAATAATAATAATAATAATAATAATAATAATAATAATAATAATAATAATAATAATAATAATAATAATAATAATAATAATAATAATAATAATAATAATAATAATAATAATAATAATAATAATAATAATAATAATAATAATAATAATAATAATAATAATAATAATAATAATAATAATAATAATAATAATAATAATAATAATAATAATAATAATAATAATAATAATAATAATAATAATAATAATAATAATAATAATAATAATAATAATAATAATAATAATAATAATAATAATAATAATAATAATAATAATAATAATAATAATAATAATAATAATAATAATAATAATAATAATAATAATAATAATAATAATAATATAATAATAATAATAATAATAATAATAATAATAATAATAATAATAATAATAATAATAATAATAATAATAATAATAATAATAATAATAATAATAATAATAATAATAATAATAATAATAATAATAATAATAATAATAATAATAATAATAATAATAATAATAATAATAATAATAATAATAATAATAATAATAATAATAATAATAATAATAATAATAATAATAATAATAATAATAATAATAATAATAATAATAATAATAATAATAATAATAATAATAATAATAATAATAATAATAATAATAATAATAATAATAATAATAATAATAATAATAATAATAATAATAATAATAATAATAATAATAATAATAATAATAATAATAATAATAATAATAATAATAATAATAATAATAATAATAATAATAATAATAATAATAATAATAATAATAATAATAATAATAATAATAATAATAATAATAATAATAATAATAATAATAATAATAATAATAATAATAATAATAATAATAATAATAATAATAATAATAATAATAATAATAATAATAATAATAATAATAATAATAATAATAATAATAATAATAATAATAATAATAATAATAATAATAATAATAATAATAATAATAATAATAATAATAATAATAATAATAATAATAATAATAATAATAATAATAATAATAATAATAATAATAATAATAATAATAATAATAATAATAATAATAATAATAATAATAATAATGTTATTAGAAATAATAAAATTTAGTGGTTATCATCCCTAAAATTTAACTCTATTAAATACCATATTACATGTTTGAAGATGGAACCACACAATTATGCCCGTGAATTTGTAATAGTTATTATTATTTCATAAAAATAAATTAATGGTTATTTTGTTACAAGTAAAAATAAAATGAAGGAGTTTAATAATAGCATACGAGGACTCCGACTTAACATTTGAGTACTGGATATTTTAAATACTCCCTCTAATTTTATTTATAAGAAAATATTTACTTTTTAAATTATATGAGATATATTAATTATTTAATAAATTTAAAAAACATTATTAATTTGAAATATATAAATAATATAAATAAAAAATAAATGGTGAATGCAACTTCAATTGACAATCATAACTTATCTGTCTATATACAAAAATAAAGGTCATCGCTGCTTGCAATCTAAACAAGGCTAATTCAACCAATTTCATCTCTCCTCTAATCATCCATTTGTGCATATTCTTTTCCTCCATAACAAAACTAGCGAAAAAGAAAGAGGTAACCAAACATTTCCATAACAACAACAACAACCTCTCTCCCTTTTCTCGCTCTAAGCATTGCAATTACGTAAGGAACATAGTTATATATATTACGAGTTTCATTTGTTTGAATGTTGCTAATATATGTCATTATACTAATTGTTAGTTGTTTGAATTTTGTAATCAGGCATAATGGTAGCAACGGTTAACCAAATGTCTTTCATTGTGTTAGCCTTTGGCGTCGTATCATTCCTTTTAGGGGTTATTGGAGAAAACAAGAAGGTAACATAACATCCAAAACAAACATTTTGTTAATTTTTATTTATGTTACATATTTTTATCCAAATACATGCATGCATGTGCTGATGTGCATGTATAAATTTATTTTTTCTGTATTGTTACAGCCTGTAGCTGGAAAACCAGTACCTAATGGTGATGGTGTTTCCGTTACGTGCCAGTATCCATCTGATCCAACGGTTGTATTGGGGTTTCTTTCTGCGGCATTTCTTATCGCATCCACCCTGGTTGGGTATCTCTCTCTATTTTACCCTTACAATGGAAAGCTTGTTCCACAAGGAACTTTATTAAAACACACTTCTTTTACGGTATTCTTCAACATCGCATTGTAAGTACTATTTCCTTGCCTATTCGTAGTTGTTACATTTTGTTCTTAATTTTGGTCAGAGAAGTTATAGGATTATAATTTAGTATGATATGATTCTTATAATTTTGTGAAATGTTAACTATTTATGTTAGGTTTACTGCTGGATTAGCTGCAATGTTCATATTATGGCCAACAATCACCGAATATATGCACTTGACTCGCAATGTGCATCGTGATGTTAACTACGAATGTCCTACGGCTAAAACGGGTCTCCTTGGAGGTGGTGCGTTTTTGTCTCTTGATTCGTCTCTTTTTTGGTTGGTTGCACTTATGCTTGCGGGTAATGCTCGGGAGGATTATTTTGAACAAGAAGGAAACAAAAGGGAATCTAATGATGAAATTGATGTAAGCGCTTGAAGTTTGTCTCTATAGTAAAAGAATCAAATATGTTGCATCTTGCATTGTGTAATTTACTTTAAATGGTTCACAAATTATGTGAAAATCTGAATGTGAATGTACATGGGCTTAAGCGATCAAGGTTATTTACTACAAACACTAGAACATAAGTTCTTTTGTCTAATTTAGAGGTGAAAACTCTATTTTATGATTATTGTATTTAAATTAATTTTTTTCCTAGTTGTTAAGTCTATTTGTTTTAATTGAATGTTGAAGGAGATGGAAATAGTGAAATGATGAAATTAATTTTTTTAGCCACTAGAAAATAGTTGAATTTAATAAATGAATTTATAAATAAATAGAAAGTAAGCAGACAATAAGCTATACCGCTAAAATGAAGAAAGTAATGCATACACCGCTAAAATGAAGGAAGTAATGCATTCAAGTGCATGTCCCTAAGGGTACGCCGAGGTTCTTTCTTCTACGGGGACGTCGAGGACACCTCTTCCACGCATGAGTTGAGGACTTCTCCGCCACGTCCCCACCAAGAGAACATGGCTAGCATTCCTCTGAATATCATGGAGTCATCCTGCTCTAAAAAAATGGGTCTTCACCTCCGAGAATCGCGAGACTGTTGAATCAGGATAGGGACCACAAACTGGTCTCATCTACCAACATAAGATCCTAGTAGTCTCCATTATGGTCTGGGCATCCAATCCAAATGGAGATCTTAGTTCAGCATTAGGGGCTATAAATTAAATATCTTCTTTCACTAGACGGCCAGGTACATTGTTTACTACTCACTTATACTCTTTACTTGCATTGTTGCTGTGAAACTTACTTTGACATCAGAGCATCTTGCAGGTACCCCCCATTCACTTCAACATTCGTAGGAGTCAATTGGTGTGGGCCATTGAAGATCATTCTGGTTAGATACAATCAGTGGCGCCGTCTGTGGGGACACTTGCCTCCCCGTCTTCTTCTAACATAAGACCAAAGCAAACCTTTTCAACGTTCTGATCATCACGGCTAGTCAGCACGGTAACGACAACAACTTTAACGAAACTGCCTTCGCCGACGGCGGAGTCTGCAACAACAACAAAGCAGCAGGTCACGACCAGGGTGACCCTTGGGACGAACAAATTGCCTCTTCCTCGTCCAGGGAACATCTCCTCGACACACATTAGCAGGTCAACCAGCCCAGAGAATATAAAGAAATTACAGTGCCTCCCAATGATGATCTCACTATTGTGGCCCTCTTCACGGCCATCAACGAGACGAACCTCCTGATTTCCCAGCAGAATGAATGAATTGGAATATTGGAGAAGGGCCGCCGATCACGCTCCCCTAGAAGACACCGAGGACAGGACTCTCGGACCCTGTCCCCGCAACGATGAGAGACTCGTTTACGATCTCCCCTGCGGAGGCACCAACGAAAAGAATCACGAAGCTCCTATTCTCGCCGTATCAGGCACGATCCTCGATTGGAGAGACCCTAACTGAAACATGTTAAAAAGAGCGATTGCACGCCACCGTGCAAGTAACGAATATCCCCTAGTCCTAATAGAAATAAGGACAAAGATCAATTGGAAAAGACGAGGAGCCGGGCAAGAACTTTCTGGTTCCATAGAGGCCTTGGTTTTGACTCCTCCCTATCTCGTTCTCTAGAATGAAGCGATAAATATGACCATAGTGGTCCACTGTCTCGAGCGACCATGAAGGTCTCTATTCCTAAGGGAATGGAAAAACCTTTACCTTTGGCAACCTACAATGACGCCACGGACCTTGACGATCACCTCGAGATTTTCAAGGAGATGCTCCACTACCACAATGTCGGAGGTGCCATCAAGTACAAGTTATTTCCCATGACTCTGAGGAAAAGTGCCATGGTGTGGTACAAAATCCTCGCCCCAGAGTCTGTCACCTCGTGGAATGGTTAGAAGACTAACTTCACCAGGAACTTCATCGCCTAGTGACGACACCCAAAAACTGAGGAGTCCCTTGAGGAAATCATTAAGAGGAATGATGAATCCCTCCAGGCATACATAGAAAGGTTCAATCGCGAGGCCATCCAGCTCCCAACGAATGACCGTATGAAGAGGTATCTGCTCGATAAAGGGTTGCACTCTGGCGACTTCAGAAAGGAAGTCGGGATAGAAAATCCCATGAAGTTCAACGATCTCCTCAATAAGGCCCAGGCTTACATAACCTATGAGAAGAAAGAAGCCTCCAACAACGATCACGATGCAAGGAACCGCGAGAGAACTGGGGCCTTAAGACATAAGGATGCTGAGTCATCTTAACAAGACGGGGATAAGAAAAAAGATGATAAATCTCGCGGCTCTCGCGAGCACAGAGTTCCTGTGAGCTATTTTACCGAGTACACTCTACTGACAACACTCCACGATCGGATCCTCGCAGAGTGTATCAGCTCTGATTTCAAGCAGGCTGAAGTTCGACTCCCTAAACCGACTCTCTCGAAGCCCAACGTGGGCAAGTTCAAGAACTTCCATTTCCACAGGAGTCACAACTACATGACATAGGATTGCATCCACCTCAAGAATTCCATCGAGACTCTCATCTGGGAAGGCAACCTAAGACAGTACCCCAACAGTAGCGAGGCTCCCCAATAGGACACTCACAAGAAGATGAGGGTCGAGGTGGACGCCTCACCGTCGAACGATGCACCCCACTAAGTAGACATGTGCAACTCCCAACCGGAGGATTTCTTCGTCCCCGGCAAGGAAGACGACATGCCCATCTTCACCCGCAACACCTGGGAGGCATTCCCCGCTGCCATGGTCATATCTGGTGGAGGATTCAACCCAATAATTGTCGTGCCAGTGAAGAGAAAGTTCGAAGAGCTTATCGATGCAAGCTTGCCAAGAACACTACTCTCAAAAGGTTTCAGCGAAAGTCTGAACCCATTACCTTCTATCTTAAATAACTGCCATGCTCGGCACAGAATGCTAGCATCCCTCTGCTGTTGAGATCGAAAATGGAAAACTTTGACGTCCAACACATTCTGGTTGACAATGGAAGCTCCGTCAACATCATATATGCAGACCTATTCACCATTCTGCAGCTCGGCCATACCCACAATGACACCATACATGGGCTCTGACCGACATAACTTCAATGGCGTGACCACCAAACCTAGGGGTTAATTCAAGCTGATGGTCACCTTAGGGGAGGAGGCGACGACCAAATAAGTCACAATCCACTTCCTGGTCATCGACTGCCCGTCCCTCTACAACAGCATCTTGGGAAGGACCACTCTGGCCGAGCTAACTTTCATACCCTACACAATCCATTTAAAGATGAAGTACTATAACAAGAGGGGGTGTGTCGTCACCATGCACGGGGATATCAAATCTGCGCGAAGATGCTTCAACGCAGGTGCTAAGGGATCAAATTCAATTGATATAATTCCAAAGACAGCTAACAAGCAAGCCCGGTTGGCCGACGACAAGACAATTGCACCCGTCGAGCAGAATCTTCCACCCCACGTCAGCTCTGTGGACTTTGACACTCGCTTCACCAAATAGGAGCTCAAGGAGGAAAAGAGGGAGGCCCGACTCGCTAAAAACAGGGATCCTCTCTATCCCGTACGTCCAATTCTAGATGGGGACTTTGAAGCCATCCTCCTAAGTGAGGACTCGACCAAAGGGGTGAAGATCGGTAGATGACTCCCTGACCTGGCAAGGAAGCAGCTGAAAGCCTGCCCGAGGGAGAATGCTAACATGTTTGCGTGGAGCACCGCAGAGATGCCCGGGCTCGACCCTGAGGTCACCTTCCATCATTTGACCGTAGATCCAACCGCTAGGCAGTAGTTCAACGTATGTAGGCAATCTTCAAAGAAAGAGAAGCCTGCTGAAAAAGCTGTAAAAATACCTCCTAGAGACAAATTTTATTTCTGAGGCCCAGTCATAAACTGGTTGTCGAACATTGTATTGGTAAAAAAAATTTAATGGAAAATGGTGTATGTGTGTTGACTATAACGATTGCAATAGGGTATATCCTAAAGATGCATATCCATTGCCTAACATTGATAGACTGGTAGATAATTGTGCAGGTTATAAAATTTTATTATTCATGGATGCTTACTCGGAATACAATCAAATCCCAATGGCGAGGAGCGACAAACAGTGCACCGCGTTCATGACCCCGTCAGACAATTATTGCCTACAACTTAATGCCCTTCGACCTGAAGAATGTCGGTGCCACTTACCAACGAATGATGAACAAAGTCATCCGAGCAGAGATCAGAGATACACTCGAGGTCTACATGGACGACATGACCACTATGTCTCGAGGAGACACCGATCACACTGTGATCGGTGGATCTGGAACTGACTGTTTAAAGCTGGTTCGCGAAATGTCGCGGAAGCAAGAGTCGCCACCGTCTTTTATTTTCTCCAAATGGAAAGGACAAAAGCACAAAAAAATTCCTTTAAAGAGATTGCTCTCGGTTCGGGAGGTAGATTATAGAAACGGAAGGTGTTAGCACCCTTTCTATCCATGGTTATCCATGGGCTCTTAGATACTTGCTCATTGTGTTTTCAAAATTGGTTTGTTTGTTTTTCAACTGTGGGTTTTAAAAAAGTTTCTTTGAAAATTTCAGTTCGACTCTTGTATCGGTCCTCAAGAGTGTTTGAAAAATTGCTTTCGAAAGCTTTTTGAAAAGGTGTCGGTGCAAAAAGTATTTTTGATTTGTTTTTGAAATTTAGAGCAAGTATCAAGAGTCGTCTACCTACCCTAAGGAATTCGTCTGTGTAGATGTCCTTTAAAATAGTGCAATCCCACCATTGAGAGGTAGGTAGCACCACCGTTGGAGGTGTTCGGGTCAATTCGAGTTTGTAGGGACATGGTGATCACCGGAGCAATAGGAAGACACCTTAGAAGCTACCCTCATGCCAGGTTCCTGGATCATGAGGACTTACTAAGACATCCTCTACTCGACGATCACCTTTCGAGGCAAGGCAACAGTGAGGCGTACCCTAGGGGTGGTGTGTGATTTG